AGAAGAAGTTGTTTAAAGTTTTAAACATATTTGACCCCTGTGACCTTGAATATGGGTGAAGGTCATTCATTTGAACAAACTTTGTAGCCCTTCATCCCAGCATGCTACTGGCCAAATATCATCACCCAGGGCATTTTGGTTTTTGAGAAGAAGTTGTTCAAAAGTTTTTTAATACAATTGACCTCTGTGACCTTGAATATAATTGAAGGTCATTCATTTGAACAAACTTGTTAGCCCTTCACCCAAGCATGCTACTGGCCTAATATCATCTCCCTGGGCATTTTGGTTATTGAGAAGAAGATGTTTAAAGTTTTTGACATATTTGACCCCTGTGACCTTGAAAATAGGTGAAGGTAATTAATTTTAACAAACTTTGTAGCCCTTCATCCAAGTTTGCTTCTGGCCAAATATCGACACCCTAGGCCTTTCGGTTATTAAGAAGTCGGTTAAAGTAAAATATTGATGCCGGACGACGGACGGACGGACGACGGACGCCGCGCCCCGGCATAAGCTCACTTGGCACTTCGTGCCAGGTGAGCTAAAAAGGTTCAACAAACAACAGATATCTAGTTTTTTGACATATTTTTCAGATGCGTGTTTGCTAATAAACTTCATCATAATTTGTTAAATATTACAAAACCCCGTGACACCAGATCAAAACGAGACTTGAACGTGATTGAAACCTCAGAAGAGTGCATCCTTTAGTACCTTACAACCATCAATGTGGCGGTTACCACCTGTGGTGGAGGAATATTTGCCTCAGGCTAGAGGTCCCAATTCTAAGAGAGATCAATCTGTGTTCCAGTCGTAAAATTTCATATTTTTTTTAAAAATCCAAGTAATTAATGAGTCAGAACAGTTGAGTCAGTCTTCAAGCCAGAGGCAAGGCACTTAAAAAATATTACCTCCCTTTTTCGACAATTTTAAGACATTCACATTCAATAAAAGTTTTAATGATTCTGATGATTCATGTAGCAAGGCTGTCATATCATTTACAGTTTTACATTACTGAAGCTATTTCAAGTTTGTTTTAGTTTGCTCACCTGTTAAACATTGTGTAAAATGTCGCTACTTCATAAACTCTCATCCTTGGCATCTGTAACATCTCCCCAACTCTATGCATTGCAGAAATTGGTAGCCAGCCTGAAAAAGGGAGAAGAATACTTGAGTTGCCTCCCTTTAGCTACATCCAATCTAAATTGTCTGACTACAGGTATTACAAAATATTCCAAGATTGACTTTTTAACATTTGAAGTAGCAGATTTTAATATTGAATAATTTGCATGCTAATTTTTTTATGATTGGAAACAGTACTTAAGAATGGACATTTTTTTTTTTTTACATCATTTCAATTTTCAAGATACTTAATTGAGAAAACATCTTGTGATGTTTCAGATCGTTGCCATGCATGATTGCTCATAGATCAGTTCCCGATGAACCATCCTTATTATAAAGTTATTCTAATGATATTGAAATGATTTGTACCTCATTTAAAGCCTCTTCAGTGATTTATTTTGTGAAAAAAAAGTTTTTACAACATTAACAGACCTTATCATGAAGCATGTTTTGTTTTCGGAAAATCATTCTTTTGAGATTCCGAAATGCTTAGACAGCGTATATACTGCATGCATACCATGTTGCCGTTGGGCTATGTCCAGGATTGGAATAACTGCAGCTGCTTGGTGACCCTCAGGGTAGTTATTTATGATCAACTCTGCTCTCTGTAACAATCAGAATTTGTATTTATTAGTGATTAACTATATTGGAATATGGTCCTGGCAATTCAAAGTGTGTTTAATAAACATTTTCGGATCTGATAAAGGAAGACACTACCTAAATTCATTTAAATATAAGTTATATATCTTACTGTTTATTCAGATGCCTAAATAATCTAGAGTTTTACAAACAATTTTTGTTTGAATACAGGAATTCTGGGCTCAATTATGTTACTCAACATATAAATTATAGCTACATACATGAACTTCCAATGTTATATAACATTATGGAGAGGCAAACAGACAAATTTACATACCACATGTAAGTATAAAACAAATTAACATCTGATGACCATTTGGTTACTTACATATATATGTATATATATGAATCAGTTCTGTTTTTCTAGTTTAGAAATTTATCGGCCTGGCATGTGTTATTTAGACTAGCAACGTTAAAATCTACATTTTAAGATTTCTAGGTAACATTTGTAAAAAGTGTTTGATTATTAACACAAATACCCAGCAATAGTGATTACCATCATCAAGGATATCAAAGCACAGCACCAATGCTAGCCCGGGAGATTTACACAATTCAAATCCCATAAAGAAACACTAACCCTAGATTTACATAATTCCCAGTGCAACCAAGGAGATCAAGCACTTTACCCTTTCACCCCTAGGTAACTTTAGTGGACTCTTCCATGCAATTATTGGGATGAGTCCATTATGATCTACAGTACTGTGGTGAAAGGGTTAATATAATACAACATACTGCAATTATACTGTGAAATAAAAGCGATAGATAATCTACAGCCTGATAGTTTGCCTTCCCCTAAAAGAAAACATTACATGCAATGTGTGTTACCTTTTTATTCTCTGCAGTGAATTCAAATGGTGTATCAGGGTTATTTTCTGGCGAGTCTCGATGCTGAAAACAAAACATTAAACTTAATGAGAACAAAAATACCATTATTTCATTAATATTTCAGCTCAGTCTCAAGGTTCATATGATCAACTAAGGTTAGTGTTTGCAAAACTTCAATAATATGCAACTCAGCATTTACAAATATATTACATTATATGATCCTGGTATGCATATCTGAAACAGACATATTTTCTACAAGTGGATATCATGTCATCTTCAGTTATGCTATCAGTCTTCATATCATTGATTTTCCAGGGTATTTCAGTATTTAACTGCCTCCAACCCTCTATATCTTGAAAAAACTGAAGTGTTTTACAGCGTGTAGAATACATTTTCTCTTTGCACAAAATTGTCATTATTACTTGTGACCAGGATTACAACTCATGCTATTTGAATTTGTTCAACATCAGTGGCACATTCTACTGAAAGTCTACCAAGGTGCCTTTTATGTGCATCGAGACAAAGGGTTTAAACTTTATCTGTGATACTATTACTATCAGTTATATAATTACAATGAGAACTTTATTGTGCACAATATTACTTTCTCATGACAATTTGGGAATATCCTTTGTCTAACTGCATTGGAAGATGAAGGTAATTATCCATTGGACCAATCTGCCTGCATTAAAAGATACTGAATATCTTACCACAGGAAGGGGACCAGAACTACATGCAGGTACTGATCTGTGCAGCGTCCTTATTTGGCCCACCTGTAATGAAGAAAAGTTTAAATGTGGTATAAGTGCTAATATTCACCTATAGCTTAGCTTTCGGTTGACCATGAAAATTAAGATATTCAAAAAGTCAAAAGCCCTTTTTTTTCAAGCGGAAGGGTGAAAACGAGTCAAATAGAAATGTATTTTGAAAACCAAGAGTCAAAAATAATTTTGGGGAGTCAATAACATTTTCTAAGGATCTATTGAAAGTCCTGAATTGAGATTGTAACAATGTTACCATTGTAACAATATAGTCCGACTGCAAACGTTTGCAGGGTTACATAATTGGATCATGACCACTCCATGAACGAGGAGACATCCCAATATCTTACCCTCCAAACGTTTGGAGCTGGACTATGATTACAAAGGCATGTTCTGCAACAGTGTTTAGATTTTTTCTTTAAAGAAATAGAAACTGAAAATTAATATAAGTGATATCAAATGATTTGATGATGGCATAATCCAATGTTAAGTTAAAAAACATGCCTATAAAGTGAACATATTATGTAAAGTTTTGTTAAGTCATTTTTTTAAATTGGTAAAATTATTTTGGATGTAATAATATTATTAGGATGGGAATAGCATTGGATTCAAGTCGTTTAATTTTTTTCTGCTGTTTAACGTCCTGTTAACAGCTAAGGTCATTTAAGGACGGCCTCCCCTGTGTGCAAGATGCATGCGTGTAGTGCATGTGTGTGTATTTTGGGAGGCTGCGATATGTTCGTGTTTGTCTCCTTGTGATAGCGCGGAACTGATGCCGACTTTATAGTGCTACCTCACTGAAACATACTGCCGAAGACACCCAGCAGGACGCCCCACCCGGTCACATTATACTGACAACGGGCGAACCAGTCGTCCCACTCCTAATTTGCTGAGCGTTAAGCAGGAGTATAAACTACCATTTTTAAAGACTTTGGTATGTCTCGGCCAGGGGACAGAACCCAAAGCCTTCCTCACAGGGGCGAACGCTCAACAAATGGCCAAAAGTGAGGCATTGTCAAGAGAGACATTAGGAAGAAGAAAGTTATTTAGAAAGGAGCTACTTATGTTTAGTAATGCATGCGAAAATAAGATTAGTAGGTACTGTATATATACTGACAGTCAAGATGACAGGTTGTTACAAAACATAGGCTAAATGACCTCCATGTATTTCCAAAACAGACGCTCGATTCCAATGTGTCATTGCATCATGAATGATCGAAAAGAACAGCAATATGATGATTTTGTTATGAGATTAAAGAGATTGATTAACATATATCACCAATCTGATACATACAGCAAGTGTGTGGAGTTTTCGGAGTGACCGCAGCATCTTTTCTTATTGCCGGAAGTAGTTCTGGCTCATAGCAGTCTCGGTCAAAATTACTCTTTTCAACCCATATTACGAAAAAGAAGATATTTTTGTTTCAACACCATTTTTTGTGAATGAAGATAATTAAAAAGAAGAAATTTCGGATCAATAATTTATCTTACATTATATTTTATTTTTGAATTATTCAGTGCGGTACTACGAAACTATGGTCACAAATGTAAACATGGAGGAAGACGTTAAGAAATAAACCGGCAAAATAGCGACGAGTTTCATGAGATTGCATACAGACACGTACGTGGAATTATGCATTAAGTACATATTTGCCATCTGTAAATATAGTGGTGTCATGGAAACCGAATGACTTCTAATTTAGTTACGTTATTGAGGTTACTTTCGATGAGAAAGTAGGATATGAAACTAACTTACTTTCACAGGGACCTGAGAATTTGTTACAGCTATACTTCTTCTACCACTTGGTGGCCACCATCAATCAGTTGAATATTCTGACACTTGTTGTGCGATGCGCTAAGTTAAGATGCATAGTTAAAAGCTTGATAAGTTTTCATGTGGCTTTTTCATGTAGTGTCAGCGTAAGCTGATACTGTTCTCTAATCACGTTCGGTTGTGAGTAACAGGTTGGTACACATTTTTGGTGGTGATGACGCCAGTGATTGTTTAACCGAGCTTTAAAACTATTTAAGGAGGGGGCCTCTACAACTATATTTGGTAGAGAGTTCCACACGTCATATTTGGTAGAGAGTTCCACCCGTCCACGACCCTATACTGCTGTACAGGTTCCTCGTTACATTGAGCCTCACCCTTCTCTTGAAGAGTTTTTTTGAGTTTCCTCTTTTAGTAGCCAATGTTGCCATTTTAATAATTTTGTCCTTATCCAGAATGTCAATGCGATACAAGATTTTGTAAATTTGTTTGACATCTCCTCTCAATCGTCGGTACTCTAGACTGGGGAGGCCCAACATACAAAGTCTCTCACTGTATGATTTTCCTTTTAGGAATGGTAGGCGCCTTGTTTCCCTGCTTTGGACATTTTCGATGGCAATTTGATCCTTTTTGAGCATTGGAGACCATATGCAGGTGGCATATTCCAAGTGTGGCCGCACTAAACTTTTATACAATTGAATAAACATGTCTTTGTTTATAAATGTAAATGACCGAAATATTAGTCCGAGGATTAAAATAGTTTGTGAATTGTGCAATTAAAAACAGTGTTCAGAATATTATTCCTTTGAGGCCAAGTGAGACTTGGAGGATTCAAGACTCACAGCGTAAATTATTTGGACTTAAACTAACGTGTTTAGAGTAATTTTACACGTTTGTGGGGTTTAGATCGATTTTCGGTAGAAATGGGGGTGCATTTTTTTTTACCGAAAATCGATCTAAACCCCCCAAACGTGTAAAATTACTAACACCTTAGTTTAGGTTCAAATATAGCTGTAACAAATTCTCAGGTCCCTGTGTTTGACATTACAGTGGATGACATCTGGCAATTGACTGGTGAAAATGGCTTCACGAGCAAAGAGTCGTGCACAGACAGGCCGGGAGAGGCATTCATTTACAGTCAATGTGAGACTGTACACAGGAGAAATATTCCCCCTAAAAAACATAAGTGGTGACATGAAAATATCTGACTTGAAGCAATATATGGAATTTGCAACAGGAATACCAATCCATATGCAGAGGATAAGCTATTTAGATGATGGTAAGTTAAAATGTACTAAATGATATAGGCCAATAATGTATGGTCACTGAGAAATTCGATCAAACAGATGTACATAGATATTCCCACAGGGTTATTTTTATAGTGGGGAAATGAACCATAACATAGATTTTATCTTAACATGTGTTGTGATGTTATCAGTCGTTAATCTGTCTTAGGTTACGGAACTACTATTTGAATTGATCTGATCATATTGCGCCTCGTCTGTTCGAATATATCAAATTAATCAGCTACATTATGCACGTTATTCAGTGTTAAATATGTACAGTACGTATCTGTAACTTTTTGTTTGCCATCTTGATTGACGTCCCCCCTTTGATTATAGTAATATTTGTGCTATAAATCTTTATGTCTATATAGGTTCACTTTGCTATTTTTAGTTAGTAGGTATTTATTTATATTAGCTCAAATATATTTCCTATTTAACTGAGCTGCAATGCAGTACTGCTAAACAGGTTTCAATATATTGAAACTGTAAATAATAGAACAAGATTATTTTAATATTTTGTTTCAATTAAATTATTTTTCAGGTGACCTGCTTGACAAATCTGATATACGATCCAATGACATAGTGCCGAATGCAACATTGAATCTAAATGTCTGGCCAATGTGGAAAGAATTGATAGATGCAGCATCATCAAATGATGCAGATTGGGTACGTCTTAAAATATGTCTGATACATGTTCTTCAGGTTTTTAAAAAAGATATTTTGAATTTTATGATAAGTCTTCTTTAAACTCATACCACAGTCACACAATGACATGGATCTCTTACTACGAAACAAGTTAAATGTGAGCATGCATATGAGAGATAGAAAGATTGGTTAGTTTTTCCTTCTTTAATATGATGCTCAAAGGGTTTATAATCAGCTATATCAGATAAAGGGGAGAACACTGATGTTTGACTAACCTGTTGTCTGATCCTTTTGTTAATGTGCTGTACAACTATCTGTTATACCCACTGTGAATCTCTACTACTATAACTATCTGTTATACCCACTGTGAATCTCTACTTCTGTAACTATCTGTTATACCCACTGTGTATCTCTACTACTGTAACTATCTTATATACCCACTGTGAATCTCTACTACCGTAACTATCTGTTATACCCACTGTGTATCTCTACTACTGTAACTATCTTATATACCCACTGTGAATCTCTACTACTGTAACTACCTGTTATACCCACTGTGAATCTCTACTGCTGTAACTATCTGTTATACCCACTGTGAATTTCTACTACTGTAACTATCTGTTATAGCCACTGTGGATCTCTACTACTGTAACCATCTGTTATACCCACTGTGGATCTCGACTACTATAACTATCTGTTATACCCTCTGTGGCTCTCTACCTCTGTAACTATCTGTTATACCCCCTGTGGATCTCTTCTACTGTAACTATCTGTTATACCCACTATGGATCTCTACTACTGTAACTATCTGGTATACCCACTGTGGATCTCTACTACTATAACTATCTGTTATCCCCACTGTGGATCTCTACTACTGTAAATATCTGTTATACCCACTGTGGATCTCGACTACTATAACTATCTGTTATACCCTCTGTGGATCTCTACTACTGTAACTATCTTATATACCCACTGTGAATCTCTACTACTGTAACTACCTGTTATACCCACTGTGAATCTCTACTACTGTTACTATCTGTTATACCCACTGTGGATCTCTCCTACTGTAACTATCTGTTATACCCACTGGGGATCTCTACTACTGTAACTATCTGTGATACCCACTGTGGATCTCTACTACTGTAACCATCTGTTATACCCACTGTGGATCTCTACTTCTGTAACTATCTGTTATACCCACTGTTGATCTCTACTACTGTAACTATCTGTTATACTCACTGTGAATCTCTACTACTGTAACTACCTGTTATACCCACTGTGAATCTCTACTACCGTAACTATCTGTTATACCCACTGTGTATCTCTACTACTGTAACTATCTTATATACCCACTGTGAATCTCTACTACTGTAACTACCTGTTATACCCACTGTGAATCTCTACTGCTGTAACTATCTGTTATACCCACTGGCTATATCAGATAAAGGGGAGAACACTGATGTTTGACTAACCTGTTGTCTGATCCTTTTGTTAATGTGCTGTACAACTATCTGTTATACCCACTGTGGATATCTACTACTATAACTATCTGTTATACACACTGTGGATCTCTACTACTATAACTTTCTGTTATACCCACTGTGAATCTCTACTACCGTAACTATCTGTTATACCCACTGTGTATCTCTACTACTGTAACTATCTGTTACACCCACTGTGGATCTCTACTACTATAACTATCTGTTATACCCACTGTGAATCTCTATTACTGTAACTATCTGTTATACCCACTGTGGATCTCTACTACTGTAACTATCTTATATACCCACTGTGAATCTCTACTACTGTAACTATCTGTTATACCCACTGTGAATCTCTACTACTGTAATATGCTCAGTAAAAGGACATGAACACATCTTATTTATTTTTTAATATCTGAAATATTTCTAATTATTTATACAGGTGTTCAGTTTAGGGGTCACAAATCCTACAACATACAAAACGCCACAGAGTGATTACATGACCAAACGAGCGAGAAAGATTTGGTTAGAGGAGCGAGCCTTCCTTGCGCTGTTCATAGCGGCTCACAGAGGTCATGATAAACTAGTTCAACAATTAATTGATTGTGGTGAGTATTATGGTGAGATGAATGCAGAAGCATTTTAAAGCTATTTTAGTAAAACATTAACGTCTATCATGATTACCCTAGTAATAGGTCATTGTTCAAGGTTTCATTGAAACTGTATACATGTAGTAAAATTGTCAAGAAATTACTGATCCCCACTATCTCTACCCATCCAGCACTCACCAATATTGATAATCAAATTTCACTTGTAGCTTCATGTTTGATTTCTTTTGAGTGTCAAGTTATGTGTTGAACACAAGTTACATTTTATTTAAATCCATTCACAAGTGATATGACTCTAAAAAAAAATGTGACCAGTGCTATCTTATCCTCGAATGTTATGGATCCTTCCTTATCTGGAGTTTCAATTCTCACAGCATGTGTTTGTCCATGCTGTCATGTTGATTTAGAGGATGACTAAATCTACAAGAAACACATAGAGTACAAAGCATTGTTACTAGGCTAAATATGTCTCGTGCTATCTATCACGTTATAATTAAAAGCTGTTCAGAGGAAAATGCAAAAAAAAATGTAAAAATATATGTGTGTTTCCTGTTTCGGCTCCAAAAATAATCGTGCACGTAGGTAGGTAGAAAATACATTTTATTTTATTTTTTCATTTTTTTTTTTTTTGGTGAAGAAAATCTTGTGAATGTTGAAAATATGTATTTTCCCTACTGCTTGACACTGACACCAGTTCAAATTAATTAAACAACAAAAGAAGTACATTAACAGTGGCACGACAAATTATTTTTCGGAGTGTAATTGCTTTCTGAGGGTCGAGCGTCCAAGGCACGTAGCGCCGGAGAAGGGCGGGGGGTATGGGAGGGACCATAGCTGAAAACAGCTACTAGGTGCTAGAAGCAATCTCCCGTGTTCTATGAACTCCTTTTATACTTATTAATAACAAGTAAAATCTGACTCTTCATATGAATAATTTTAATTTTGTACTTCACTAACCTGTTTTTGATATATATATATATACAAATGTACATAAATCATAACATAACAACACTTTTTTTATCAGACTAAAATTTTCAAGAAGGCTCTTTTTATGATACTAACTGTCCATATTACCGGGTAATAAAAAAAAAGAATTTCATGAAAATATATGATTAAAAAACTCTTAGTGTAATTTAGTGTATGCTTGATTGAGCATACAAGCATACAAGCATACGAGCATATACTCCACTGATTTAAATTATATTTACACTATATTTACAACACAAGTTTTTTATGCCTCAAAGTCTTCACTATTGTGAACTCAATCTCTCCACTCCAGACTTAAAACTGTAAAACTTCACAGATTTAAAAACTTCAGCTAAAACTACTATTATTACTAACTTCCTAATTCTCACTTACTCTAACTTTCTAACTCTCTTCTATATCGATCTCTAGACTTCTCAACTAACTCAACCTCCTTCCTCAAGACTTCTTAACTTAACCCAACTCACCAACCTGACTTCTTCTCCTTTGACTCCCTTACTATCTGTCCCTTCCTGCTACATTAGAACTGTTGATGCTGCTGAAATCCTACTAAAATTCAACCCCTACACAAACTAGGTTCAAATTGCCATACATTTANGGGGGGGGATATAATATTCATAGCAAATTGTATGCACACTTAAAACAATTAAACGGCTAATAAATGCATAACAGTGACTGTGAAAAACCAATAAAATGTATAAGGGTTGGCATGGAAAAATAGGGACGGTCGGAAACGAGAAACACAGGTATATTTTTATTTGGACTTAGTTACAGTCTTTAGCTCCTGTATGTTCACTATGGGTACACCATCATGAATTGGTCAACAACAATCGATTAACCCAGTTCAATATTTTAAAACTATGACAGCATAACAACATACATGTACAGTTGTTTTATGTTGGCAGGTGTATTGTACATTTATGTTGTAAAGGTGCAGGCTTATACTTGTAATAGAGTTAGCTGATTGCAGTGATTGTTATGGTTGCAGTGATTGTTATGATTTCAGTGATTGTTATGGTTGCAGTGATTGTTATGGTTGCAGGGATTGATATGATTGCAGTGATTGTTATGGTTGCAGGGATTGTTATGGTTGCAGTGATTGTTATTATTGCAGTGATTGTTATGGTTGCAGGGATTGTTATGATTTCAGTGATTGTTGTGATTTCAGTGATTGTTATGGTTGCAGTTATTGTTATGATTTCAGTGATTGTTGTGATTTCAGTGATTGTTATGGTTGCAGTTATTGTTATGATTGCAGTGATTGTTAGGGTTGCAGTGATTGTTATGATTGGAGTGATTGTTATGGGTGCAGTGATTGTTATGATTGCAGTGATTGTTATGGTTATTAGTGATTGTTATGATTGCAGTGATTGTTATGATTGAAGTTATTGTTATGCTTGCAGTGATTGTTATGATAGCGTTGAGTGTTATGAAGTTATGAATTGTACAGATGATATAACCCAAGGTTTTTCCTACAGGTGCTGATGTAAATGCCTGCACGCCCCTAGGCAGAACAGCACTCCATGTGGCTGCAGCTCAGGGCCGAGGACACATAGTCGATGTTCTCCTTGAAAAAGGTATTTACTGTTTTACCATTACTTCTGTATAAATCTGGGGTGTCACAGCTGTTGTAAAAAAACAACACAAAAATGTTGTCGCCAGACAGTGATTTTTTTGGTAACTTTGAAGCCTTTAAAGGCCCCTTTGACTAGATTTTTTTGCTGTATTTTTCCAAAATCATTGCAAAAATTGCTTTATTTTCCCATGCTTTTTGTGTGCGATGTTTTCCAAAAGTTATAACACACAGACCTCTGTCTAAAAGAGGTATAAAAATCACTGCCAGATTATATCAGTTAAAATTTGTCAAAGTTTTACAGCATTGTGAAGATTTCACTGGAATAAAGTTATATGCATGAAAGAAATACATTTATTATAATTTCCTTTTAAAACCTCCTCCTTGGGGATTGGATCCCTAGATCTCTTTATGATAATGCAGGGAGCTTATTCACTGTGCTACCAGTCATTTTATTTTCTGTGTGTCAGAACTTTTTAGGAACCATTACTGGAAATGTTTCCCAAATGTTCTAACTCACTAAAAAGACCACCGATCTATAATTATCTTTGCATGAATGTGGAAGAAATGACATAAACAGGAGAATGAATTTTTCGATGTCTGTCCACAGTAGAAAATTTGTAGGACAATACTGAACTTTAAGATCCCCTTAATATAACAATGTCTGTTTTTTGTTTGTATACTAATTAAGTCTGTTTGTGTTTATATAGGAGCAGACATTGATGCTGAAGATGAAGATGGTGCCACTGCTTTGTCTATAGCAGCAAAATTTGGTCATAAAAGTTGTGAACGACATTTGTTCCTATTTCGGTGGCAAGAGCGTGCAAAGCGAATTCAGAAAAGTGACGATCCTGATCGAATGGCTCATCAGTATTTTGATTCAGCTTTTCCTGTGTGGATGAAAGGGGGGCAGTGTCAACTGTATTTCACAAACATTCTACCACCAGGTGAATATGAAGGGACGGGACTCTGTTCACCTCTAAAACGACCAACCAGTTCTTCCATGCCTGGGGCGGGTTACTATAGAAATGGTTCAGATGAAGACTTTGAGACAGATGCTGATGGAGCTTACATTCCAAAAGGTAGGTGTTATCAGTAACCAAATACAGTCATGGCAGGCTTTGAGAAATGCAAAGCTTAATATCCAGCATCCAGTTATAGTGGTTGTACAACAGGGGTTGACTGTCTGTTTCTGTAAAAATCGTGGCTGACTGCATATAACTGAAGTTCAAACAATAAAATCTTGGCTAACTGCATATAACTGAAGTTCAAACAATAAAATCTTGTCTAACTACATATAACTGATGTTCAAACAATAAAATCTTGTCTAACTGCATATAACTTGAGTTCAAACAATAAAATCTTGGCTGACTGCATATAACTGGAGTTCAAACAATAAAATCTTGTCTAACTGCATATAACTGGAGTTCAAACAATAAAATCTTGGCTTTCTACAAACAGGAAAAATGTATTCTCAAAAGAAACATATGTTTTTCTACATATAATATTTGAACGTTGTTGGAGAAAAGGGTCCCCAAACTCGTTAACCTTGTGTTTTTATACAATTTGAAAATTAACTTACTTCGTTTAGATAATCATGATAACCAACCAACACTCATTCAGGAACCTCTTTATATAAGCTTATATTGACATTTACCATATATTGGTGTTACAGGAGGAATGAGGCTGCCTGCAATACGAGAGGAAAGGGCGAAGAAGTCAGGGTAAGTGTGTTGTGTCAAGGTATGGGGTAAGTGTGTTGTGTCTATAGGTATGGGGTAAGTGTGTTGTGTCTATAGGTATGGGATAAGTGTGTTGTGTCTAGGTATGGGGGAAGTGTGTTGTGTCTAGGTATGGGGTAAGTGTGTTGCGTCTAGGTATGGGGTAAGTGTGTTGTGTCTATAGGTATGTGGTAAGTGTGTTGTGTCTATAGGTATGGGATAAGTGTGTTGTGTCTAGGTATGGGGCAAGTGTGTTGTGTCTAGGTATGGGGTAAGTGTGTTGTGTCTAGGACATTATGGGGTAAGTGTGTTGTGTCTAGGTATGGGGTAAGTGTGTTGTGTCTAGGTATGGGGTAAGTGTGTTGTGTCTAGATAGATATGGGGTAAGTGTGTTGTGTCAAGTACATGTATGTGGTAAGTGTGTTGTGTCAAGGTATGGGGTAAGTATGTTGTGTCTAGGTATGGGGTAAGTGTGTTGTGTCTAGGTATGGGGTAAGTGCATGTGTTGTGTCTAGGTATGGGGTAAGTGTGTTGTATCTAGGTATGGGGTAAGTGTGTTGTGTCTAGGTATGGGGTTAGTGTGTTGTGTCTATAGATATGGGGTAAGTGTGTTGTGTCTATAGATATGGGGTAAGTGTGTTGTGTCTCGGTATGGGGTAAGTGTGTTGTGTCTAGGTACTGGGTAAGTGTGTTGTGTCTAGGTATGGGGTAAGTGTGTTGTTTCTATAGATATGGGGTAAGTGTGTTTTGTGTCTAGGTATGGGGTTAGTGTGTTGTGTCTAGGTATGGGGTAAGTATGTTGTGTCTATAGGTATGAGGACATATGTTACTGCTTTCTGATGCGGGAGGGGTGAAGGGGAGAAGTGGAGGAGGGACATGTTGGGGTAGGTGATGGGAGGGAATCATCTGACATTAAATCCAACATAACAGTGACTCCGATTCTAAAAAAATAAAGAATGCATGCATAATATTTAGAATATCTGACTGTTATGGATTTGTGTCAGGAATATCAGGCAATTTGAAATAAGATGAATGGTTACAGAAAAGCTGAAGAATTCCCTAAACAATCTTTGGAAACCAAGTAATCAATATAATGTTAGAAATGCAACATGGCAGGCTTAGGGCCATTCGTGCTGAGTTCAGTACCTAGGTATGTCTGACACTCACTGGCATTTATCTGAGAATGAAAGCAGTACTATAGTTTAACTGTATCATCACGTTTATAAGTTTTATAAGATGCACAATGTAGATCAATTTATTGTGTCAAAATATATTCTGTAACTGAGGTGAGATATATATACCAGTAGAGTATAGAAAGTATAGAAATTGTATGATACAGTGGTATGATATTGATTTAATATAGAAGTTGTATGATACAGTGGTATGATATTGATTTTATATAGAAGTTGTATGGTAAAGTAGTATATCATTTATTTAATACAGAAGTTGCATGATACAGTGGTATGATATTGATTTAATATAGAAGTTGTATGATACAGTGGTATGATATCAATTTTATACAGAAGTTGTATGATACAGAGGTATGTCATTGATTTTATACAAAAAATGTATGATACAGTGGTATGATATTGATTTAATATAGAAGTTGTATGAAACAGTGGTATGATATTGATTTTATACAGAAGTTGTATGATACAGTGGTATGTCATTGATTTTATATAGAAGTTGTATGATACAGAGGTATGTCATTGATTCTATACAAAAAATGTATGATACAGTGGTATGTTATTAATTTTAAACAGAAGTTGCATGATGCAGTGGTATGATATTGATTTAATATAGAAGTTGTATGAAACAGTGGTGTGATATTGATTTTATACAGAAGTTGTAAGATACAGTGGTATGTCATTGATTCTTTAAAGAAGTTGTATGGTTCAGTGGTATGATATTGATTTAATTTAGAAGAGTGGTATGATATTGATTTAATTTAGAAGAGTGGTATGATATTGATTTAATATAGAATTTGTATGAAACAGTGGTATGATATTGATTTAATTTAGAAGAGTGGTATGATATTGATTTAATTTAGAAGAGTGGTATGATATTGATTTAATTTAGAAGAGTGGTATGATATTGATTTAATTTAGAAGAGTGGTATGATATTGATTTAATTTAGAAGAGTGGTATGATATTGATTTAATTTAGAAGAGTGGTATGATATTGATTTATACAGAAGTTGTATGATACAGAGGTATGATATTGCTTTAATATAGAAGTTGTATGATATAGTTGTATGTCATTGATTTTATATAGAGATCATTGATTTTATTTAGAAGTTGTATGATAAAGTGGTATGTCATTGATTTTATATAGAAGTTGTATGATGTAGTGGTATGTCATTGATTTTATACAGAAGTTGTATGATATAGTGGTATGTCATTGATTTTATATAGAAGTTGTATGATGTAGTGGTATGTCATTGATTTTATACAGAAGTTGTATGATATAGTGGTATGTCATTGATTTTATATAGAAGTTGTATGATGTAGTGGTATGTCATTGATTTTATACAGAAGTTGTATGATATAGTGGTATGTCATTGATTTTATATAGAAGTTGTATGATGTAGTGGTATGTCATTGATTTTATACAGAAGTTGTATGATATAGTGGTATGTCATTGATTTTATATAGAAGTTGTATGATGTAGTGGTATGTCATTGATTTTATACAGAAGTTGTATGATATAGTGGTATGTCATTGATTTTATATAGAAGTTGTATGATGTAGTGGTATGTCATTGATTTTATACAGAAGTTGTATGATATAGTGGTATGTCATTGATTTTATATAGAAGTTGTATGATGTAGTGGTATGTCATTGATTTTATACAGAAGTTGTATGATATAGTGGTATGTCATTGATTTTATATAGAAGTTGTATGATGTAGTGGTATGTCATTGATTTTATACAGAAGTTGTATGATATAGTGGTATGTCATTGATTTTATATAGAAGTTGTATGATGTAGTGGTATGTCATTGATTTTATACAGAAGTTGTATGATATAGTGGTATGTCATTGATTTTATATAGAAGTTGTATGATGTAGTGGTATGTCATTGATTTTATACAGAAGTTGTATGATATAGTGGTATGTCATTGATTTTATATAGAAGTTGTATGATGTAGTGGTATGTCATTGATTTTATACAGAAGTTGTATGATATAGTGGTATGTCATTGATTTTATATAGAAGTTGTATGATGTAGTGGTATGTCATTGATTTTATACAGAAGTTGTATGATATAGTGGTATGTCATTGATTTTATATAGAAGTTGTATGATGTAGTGGTATGTCATTGATTTTATACAGAAGTTGTATGATATAGTGGTATGTCATTGATTTTATATAGAAGTTGTATGATGTAGTGGTATGTCATTGATTTTATACAGAAGTTGTATGATATAGTGGTATGTCATTGATTTTATATAGAAGTTGTATGATGTAGTGGTATGTCATTGATTTTATACAGAAGTTGTATGATATAGTGGTATGTCATTGATTTTATATAGAAGTTGTATGATGTAGTGGTATGTCATTGATTTTATACAGAAGTTGTATGATATAGTGGTATGTCATTGATTTTATATAGAAGTTGTATGATGTAGTGGTATGTCATTGATTTTATACAGAAGTTGTATGATATAGTGGTATGTCATTGATTTTATATAGAAGTTGTATGATGTAGTGGTATGTCATTGATTTTATACAGAAGTTGTATGATATAGTGGTATGTCATTGATTTTATATAGAAGTTGTATGATGTAGTGGTATGTCATTGATTTTATACAGAAGTTGTATGATATAGTGGTATGTCATTGATTTTATATAGAAGTTGTATGATGTAGTGGTATGTCATTGATTTTATACAGAAGTTGTATGATATAGTGGTATGTCATTGATTTTATATAGAAGTTGTATGATGTAGTGGTTTGTCATTGATTTTATACAGAAGTTGTATGATATAGTGATTTGTCATTGATTTTATATAGAAGTTGTATGATGTAGTGGTATGTCATTTATTTTATATAGAAGTTGTATGATATAGTGGTTTGTCATTGATTTTATATAGAAGTTGTATGATGTAGTGGTATGTCATTGATTTTATACAGAAGTTGTATGATACAGTAGTATCTCATGATCATTGATTTTATACAGAAGTTGTATGATAAAGTGGTATGTTATCGATTTTATACAGAAGTTGTATGATACAGTGGTATGATATTGATTTTATATAGATGTTGTATGATGTAGTGGTATGTCATTTATTTTATATAGAAGTTGTATGATATAGTGGTTTGTCATTGATTTTATACAGACGTTGTATGATGTAGTGGTATGTTCTCGATTTTCTCCAGAAGTTGCATGATACAGTGGTATGATATTGATTTTAAACAGAAGTTGCATGATACAGTGGTATGATATTGATTTAATATAGAAGTTATATGGTACAGTGGTATGATATTGATTTAATTTAGAAGTTGTATGGTACAGTGGTATGATATTGATTTTGTATAGATGTTGTATGTTACAGTGGTATGGCATTGATTTTATACAAAAGTTGTATGATGTAGTGGTATGTCATTGATTTTAAACAGAAGTTGCATGATACAGTGGTATGATATTGATTTTATATAGAAGTTGTATGGTACAGTGGTATGATATTGATTTAATTTAGAAGTTGCATGATACAGTGGTATGATATTGATTTTATATAGAAGTTGTATGGTACAGTGGTATGATATTGATTTAATTGAGAAGTTGTATGGTACAGTGGTATGATATTGATTTAATTTAGAAGTTGTATGGTACAGTGGTATGATATTGATTTTATATAGATGTTGTATGTTACAGTGGTATGGCATTGATTTTATACAAAAGTTATATGATACAGTGGTATGTCATTGATTTTATACAAAAGTTATATGATATAGTGGTATATGTCTTTGATTTTATATAGAAGTTGTATGATACAGTAGTATCTCATGATCATTGATTTTATTTAGAAGTTGTATGATATAATGGTATGTCATTGATTTTATATAGAAGTTGTATGATATAGTGGTATGTCATTGATTTTATTTATAGTAGTTGTATGATACAGTTGTATGTCATTGATTTTATATATAGTAGTTGTATGATATAGTGGTATGTCTTTGATTTTATATAGAAGTTGTATGGAACAGCGCCTTGCTTGGCAATACCTCACGTTTGGCTTTAATGTTGAGCGTTGTTCCAGTTGAGCAAGGCAATGGGTTCTGTCCCAAGGCCGGGACCTACCAAAGTCCTTAAAAATAGTAGTTGTGATTCCCTGCTTATTTTTCAGCACTATTAAGGGTAATTGCAACAACTGGTTCATCCGTTGTCAGTATAATGTGACCCAGCGGAATGCTGGGTTGGGTGCCTTCGGCATTGGTATTTCAGTGAGATAGCACTTTAAAGTTGGCATTAGATCCTGCTATCAAAAGGAGGCAATAACACCAACATACCTTGTCTCCAGCACACATACACACATGCACAAATACATAACACACATGCACACATACATAACATACACGGAGGCACGTATTTAAATGACCTTCGCTGTTAATAGGACCTTAAACAAAATAAAACCAAACCAAACCATAGTATGGTACAATGGTATGTCATTGATTTATTCAGAGCAGTCTGCTCGGAATGCTCTCCAAATTGTATGGTGCACAAACGTTGGGATACAGACCTTAAAGGTTATGATATGTCTGACATTAAAATTGACAGCTTCACAATTTTTTCCCAAAATTTAAAGCTCAGAATGAATTCTGTTGGGAGTATTGTGAGTATCTATTGATTCTGTTAGGAATGTTTCCAGACTTGTTTGATGTATGCATATATTTAACCATTCTCGATATCCAGGGGTTACGTTCACTTTCGCTCTCTACACCCCTGGAATATGTCATGGCAAAATTGAAGGCACGAAGATAGCTGTTTGATTGGTCTCGGGTAAAAAAAACTGACCAATCGCTAGGCTGATACCTGTTCTCTGAAGACTACAAAGGAGAGACGCCCGACTTCAAAGCCTGTCAACTATTACCTTTACTTGACTGCGAGATTCTTTTGATGTATATCAAAGGATCAAACTAGTCTCCTTGTCTCATCAACAAGGTGGCGCACACCAAGCCTTCAATTTTGCTATGACATATTCCAGGGGTGTAGAGAGCGAAACTGAGCGTAACCCCTGAATATCGAGGATGATATTTAACAAAAAATAAATAAATTTATGTAATGATGCATTAAAATTCGAAAAAATGGGTATACATGCATGCATCCTAAGTTCAAGAAAAACAGATATTGATTCTATTTGGCATTTTTCTATTTTTTCTAGTGCAATGATGAATAATAGTCTGACAGTACATGTGTCATTAAAGCTCTTAAATATGTAATAATTAAGTTTTGATTAAATGCAAATGAGTTGTTTCTTTTAACCAACCCGAGGAATCAGGCAACTGTCACGATTTTTTTTTGTTTTTCTAAGAAAATTCTTTATCATCAATTCGAACATTCATCTGTGAAAGTTATAGAAATATCCATCTGACCTGATTTGTCTTGGTTATTCAAATTTTTACATAGTGTAGAGTAGTCATGAGAAAATGATTGCCAATCTGAGCCATACAAAAAATCAACACTTTTATCTAATACTTACTGTGGTTTGTGTTTTTGTATTTAACAGAAAGAAACAAATCAGTTATAAAGATTGGTTGGGAAAGAAGACATCTGTAGAACAAAAAGTAATAGATGCCAAAAAGAAAGAAGAAGACAAGAAGAGATTAGAGGAGGAAGATCAGTAAGTTCTATCTTCAAGGTCATGGCCTTGGAATTTAACACTTAATGGGAAGAAAGCTCTTTATTGGCGGTGGTAAGAAATAAGGTGTTTTTTTTATTGTTGGTGACAAAAAATGACGTTGGTTTTTACTGTCAGTGGTGAAGAAGGATCTGAGTTTATTTTTCTTACTGTTGGTGGCAAGAAATGATGTGGGTTTTATTGTTGGGGTGAGGATTATGATATGACGTTTTAGCCACCACCATCGCCTTTCATCTGCGGTCCATAGTTAATCCATCCATAAACAATTCTTGTTATCACTATTTCTCAAAAAATCTTTCTGAAATTTCATGAGTAGGTTACCGTTGGTCTTAATTAAGTTGTGCATGTTAAATTTTGAAACTGATCAAAAGAACGGTGACAGCCATCTTGAAATTTGATACTGAAAGTTTGTTATCAATATTTCTCAGAAAACGTTTGAGTGATTTTTCTCAAATTTGACAGGTAGATTCCTGCCAGTAATTGTACATGTTAAATATTGGCACCAATGACAAAACATGACAGGGCCAGACAAATTCTAGGCCTGCTGGTCTGGGCAAGTGGATCTGGCCTGTTGGCATGTGAAAATGTTTGTCTCCTTGCGAGATGGACCATTGCAAAATTTTCCGAATAACCAGTAGTGTTCACACTATGCTCTTTTGTTAATTATAAAATATATAATCCTTTACAAGATAATTTTCGGATCAGTATTATTTCAACGCTTGGCAAGTACTTTTTTTTTAATCGTACTTTTCCAAAGGATAAGATAGTGCTGATGAAAACTATGTTCTTTCCCTGCAAGATGGTTGTTATTTGGCTTTTTTGAACTTTGACAGTTAAAGATTGTAATGGCTATTTAGCAGAGAGCACATTGTAGGGATCTTTCTAAAGTTCAGAATTGGTTCATTGTGGTCCTTCATTGTTCATCATCAATTTTGAAGCCAATTGCAATAAAAATCATGCTGCTGGATGGCCCTGAATCTGACAGTTAAAGTTAAAATTTTATAAAAAAAAATCAGATAGTACTAGCTGGAAAGATTTTTCTTGAACTTTCCATCTAGATTCCTCTCAGTTCTTAGTTATTGGTGGAAACTGTCAGTTCTGTTAAGATCTGTTATGATACGATCAATATTGTTACGATATGATATGACACAACATTGTTATAATCTGTCACAATACTTTGATCTTGCAATAGATTTCTCAGGAAAATGCAAAAGGATCTTTTGTTTACAGAATGGAACTAAGATGAAAATCTTCAAATGTATATTTCATGTTAAGCAGTAGTTGTACTGTAACAGATCTTAATTATGTGCATTACTGTCAAGGTTATTGGTGGTATCAGAGCATTAGTTACTGTTTACTCAATCAACTGTTTATATTCAACTATACAAAATTTTAAGGTAAGACAGGTTGCAGTGTATTGCATCAAATATCAAGGTCATAGACTGTTTGTACTAAATTATATATCAAGGTCAAAATGGTTTTAAGTATACTATATAAATTGTCAAAATCACAGGATATTTGTAGTTTAATATATAAAATAGCAAAATCAATCGCAGACTGTTTGTAGTTTAATATATAAAATGCCAAGGTCACATACTGTTTGTAGTTTAATATATATAAAACATCAAGGTCACATACTCTTTGCAGTTTGATTTATAAAACATTAATGTCACCGATAATTTGTAATTTAATAAAAAAAAAAAAAAAACATCAAAATATCAGGGCAACATACTGTTTGTATTTTAATACATGAAACATCGAAGTTAGAGACTTTCTGTAGATTGATATATATATAAATAAAACATCAAGGTCACAGGCTGTTTGAAGTATAACTTATATAATATCAAGGTCACAGATTGTAAGTAGTTTCATATATAAAACATCTTGGTCACCAACTGTTTGTTATATATTATATAAAACAGCTATAAAATCAGAGTAGTTCACTTTGCATAAATCATCTGCTAAATGTTAGACTGAACATACTCCTCTGTGAGCAAGAATTTACTTTGCTTTGCTATTCTGAAGACATAGATAAGTATTTTGTCTTATGTTAATTCTTTTAATATAAAAATGTGATAACATTTGAGAGTAAGAATGCAAACATTGAATGTCAGAAGGTGTGCAATGTTTGTTTTGAATGTAAGAATGTAAGACGTGAATGAATTATGCATGTACTAATGTTAGACTTGAATAAAAGACTTGGATTTAAGAATGCTATACATGAATGTCAGAATGTACTGCGTGAAAGTAACATCTTTAATTGCAGATACTGTACTAACTTAAGCAGTTACATAAATTACAACTTAAACGATACTGATAGAAGGTTTTACATTAAAACGATATTATCTTAAGACCACATAAACATTCTATTAACTTAAGACATTCAAATAAACAATCAATGACTGTAAGCCTTTACAAAAGTATTTGCTGAATTTTAGACTGAGAAATACTATGTTTTAAGGCTGTACTGTTTAACTTGATTTACAGGAGTAGGTGGACACTTTCGTTTTATTACTTTGTTTGCTTTGTAATGGACAGCGTTTAAGTTCCATATTATCTCCAACCTTATAATTTTGCGCTCTGCTAATTGTAAAAGTTTTACTTCAGAAGGGTACTCTCTCTGATAACTATATAATTGTATATATAATTCAGTACCCTACCGACATTTACACATATACCATTCTTCACAGGGAACGACTTTAAACGAAAAACTCTTTACATTTAAACTCAGAAATTTAGATTTTAATAGATGTGCTAATTCCTTTGTCGAAATGTCGACATGATCAGTCTGTGACTTTCACTCTTATTTTTCGTAGAAGCAGTTTTGAGTAAGTATTATCTATAGAGAGCTTTATCTAGAGTGACTTACAAAGCTATTTCTGGCTGTATACCTTTGTTTTCTTATATTGGATGACCCGTGGATGACAGCTGTGTTATTTGTAATGACAGATATCTTTGAGTGATACATGAGCAGCAATTTAAAACCTATTACCAGGAGTGTGACCTGAATAAGCCCTGCTCTAACAGCCTCTGAGCAGACTACCAGTTTACATATTGCTCAACTGCTTCAAGCCTAACGGTGAATTACAAACGAGCAAATAACACTGCATCAACACCACTTTCATGTAAGGTAGCCCAGCAATAAACATAATCTTCATGTAATGTATCGACTGCATCAACACAACCCTCATGTAAAATATCCCATACACAACCCTCATGTAAACTATCCCACACACAACCCTCGTGCAAAATATCCCACACACAACCCTCATGTAAAATATCACACATAGAACCCTTACGTAACGTATCACACAAACAACCCTCATGTAACATATCACACACACAACCCTCATGTAAAGTATCATACACACTACCCTCATATAAACTATTACACACACAACCCTCATGTAAAGTAGCATACACACTACACTCGTATAAAGTATCCTATACACAACCCTCATGTAAACTATACCATACACAACCCTCATGTATAGCACCCATGTTTTTGTATATCTATTATTATATTTACCAGACGCTAGCAACAACTACCTTTTTTTAAGTAGCTACATTTTGCATCTCCAATCTATTAAGAATGTGTGTATGTATAGACGGTAGTAAGTAGTATATTAAGAGGTGATACTACCTTGTCCATATTCCTAGAGAACTCTGTACACAGATATTCCTAGAGAACTCTGTACACAGAAGCTGTTGTTGTAATGGACTGATATCGCCACTTTTAACTTGTGTGTACATTAGTACTGAGCAACATTGTTCAGGTATCACTACGTGCTACTTGTATTTTTGAAGCTTTGAGCGATCAATGACAACCATGCTGCATTATATTTATGTGTTATTTGATTCATGGACTTGACCTTTGCTTTAGGAGAAGGCTAACTAAAGCCGTTGTTAAATTTCAATATAGGTTTGAGATGAAGAAGAACATAAGATCAGAATTGGTTTTACGAAGAGACATTTGTACATTAGTTAACCTTTTCTGTTTTCTATGACATCGCGTGTCCTGATCATAGCCTTTTTGTTACAGCTAGCGCAGTTCCGCTCTGTGTAGTGGAGTGAGTTTTCCTTTCGTACAATGTTTTAGAAAGTCTTGACATTTAAACTGATTAAAAATCTGTGTTTGCCATTCAGAAAAGATTTGGAGTAAGTATATGTGAGTGGTTGGAGTGACACACACGGGTATACCAATCCAGTCCAGCTAATTAAAAGTCACTTACAAACTCTGCTACACTACGTAAACTTGTTTTAGCCTGAACTCTGTACGGATTCAGGTTTAAGGCTTTGATGGTCAAGTGATATTATCTCATCAACAAATGACCACAGAAATATTTGTAGGGAGTATTTCAAAGCTATTCAAAATCACGATTCAACACTGCTTTTTATCAATTGTAAATGATCGAGAAGCATGCAATGTTTGTCTTTTAAAAAAATTAATGTAACATGGATAACTCGAAAATTTCATTTTAAATAATGAATAAGCTGACACAGATTTAGTCGGATTGAAATGCTGTTAACAAAAAGTGTTGAGATTCAAAATCATCACAGTCCGACACAGTTTCGGTTTGAAATCTCGGTAAATATGCAATTCAACTACCTGTGGAATAAATGGGCTGTGGTGATTTTTGCCTCAACCAGCCATTGAAGAGACGTCTTGATATTCTGTGTTGACTTGCTGTTTTGACCGTGGTTCAACACGAAAACTGATATCTGGGAGTTCCGAGAATGTTCTTATAATTCTGAAACAGAAAAAAAAACAATTTTACGTAATGCAGCGGAGATTGTGATCTAACTTTAATTAAATCCCGTGTGTAAGTAGATAATGTAGTCGCGAGCATTGCATGACGTTTTTGGTTTTTATTTTTTAGACTATTCATTGAAGTAGTACATTCCAATATCTTGGCTGAAATCTGATGTAACATGTTAGGTTTTATTAATTACGGTATGTAGTATGTAATGAAATCAGAAGCTACGCTGAGTTATAACGATTTGCGTCCCACATTTAACACAAACAAATATGACGAAATTATTCAGGTGATTATGATGACCCTTTATATAAAGATATTTTTTTCCATCAAATATGAAGGAAAAACAATGAGAACCCTGTTTCATTATACTTGAGATACAACGTAGGATCGTGAATTAAAAAACAACAACTTAGTTTTGTTGTAAATTTTGTAACCGATGCTCGGACAACATTGCCATTAATCATCACCTTTGGTTCCAGTCACTTGACTTCACAATCCGAACTTTCCTTGCGCTATTTATCCTCTCTTCACATTTCGTGTGTGCCCACTTATTAAAGGTACAATTTCTCCATATTGTAACTTTAAGTCGATTCCCTTGTATATATACAACACTCTGTGTGTGACTGACTCTTACAGCTGGTATAACTGTTGTCATCTACCCGTTAGTGTAAACATGTAATATATCTTTCCGTGCGTCTGTGGTAGAGTAAACATTGTAATATATTTCCGTATGTCCTTGTTAGTGTAAAGTGTAATATATTTTTTTTGTGTGCGATTGTTAGTGTAAAGTGAACTATATTTTTCGTGTGTGTTTGTTAGTGTAATTTCAAATATATTTCCGTGTGTCTTTCTTAGTGTAGAGAGTGTTGTATATTCCCGAATGACGTTGTGTATTTTTAGTGTCGTTTTCATGTTGTTGATGTGTTGTGATGGTCTGTCAGATTTTAAGGTATATCTGGTTATGATACACACGTCGTTAGTTCTAACTATGATTTAAATCTGACATACGTCTAGGTATTGTTAATGTGTAACTTCATCAACGACAGAATCTTATTTTTATTTATGACAATAGCTTAGGTATTATACACGGTATTATACGTGTGGAACTTAATAAAAATCAAATTAAGTAACAAAGAGTAATGCTGGTATATAAAAAGAAATCTTCATGGGATTACAGCCAGACGAATAACTTAAGTAAAATACCGGTTTGCAAGCTAAGAGAAGTGTTTACGTGATGACTTATATGATCCAGTGTGGTTTATCACGTGTGTCTATATATAGATCTTGCCAATCTTCGCCATTAAGAAAGATGTTTATGAAAATGTATTTTATTTCCAGATAATTGCCGCATTTTCGGAATCGTTTCCATGACCATATCATGCTATATTTAGTAATATGCTACTTACAAACAAATTCATCAACTGCTTGGTGACTTTTTGATTTATATGCAAATACTAATACTTTTGCATAACTATGTGTTTTTATTTCAAGTGTGATCATGCTAGTAACAGCTTTCAGAGTTATGTCTCTGCAAATGTACACAGCATAAAATAATGCATTTTTTTCCAGACTATATTATATATCGAAACGCTTGCGTCGTTTTACTGCAGTGTGTCGTGTAAATTTACATAACCTTTTCTCCAATTAACCGAGACTTTATAACAATTATCATATTTGATGTTAAATTTACTATGATCATGATTGTTCTTTTCTTGGTTGTTAAATTTTGTTTCCTTAAGTGTACTTGGGATAACAATAATTTTTACAAACTTCATAACGGAAATATTTTTGTTAAGGTACTTTTTGAGCTTAGCTTATTTAAAGGTATATATGTATCGTAGCATTTAACAACGATGTTCCTGCAGGTAACGACATAAAATATCGGGACGATTTGTATATAAGGTTTTTAAGTATTTTAGAAAAAGTATCAAGAAGCTATTACTACATATTATTTATCTGGAGGTTTTCTAGGCCGGTGAACCTCAAGTCGTCTTTAACTAGGCTGTTGAAACCCAAGCCGTCTTTTACTAGGCTGTTAAAACGCAAGACGACTTTTACTAGGATGTTGTTTCCCAAGCCGTCTTTTACTAGGCTGTTGAAACCCAAGCCGTCTTTTACTAGGCTGTTGAAGCATAAATCGTTGTACACCAGACTGTTGAACCATCGGTCGTTTTTTACTGGACCCTGAAACCCGAGCTAATGCTTACCAGACTTTTAAATCATGTACCAATTTCTGCTAGGATGTTTAACGCTGACCTGTTGCATAGCCTAGCCCCTACCCCAACAAATTGTTTAAGGTCTCGTATGTTTTCGTTATTCAAAGTTTAGCAATATAAGAAAAGCAGTATGTATAAGGATCAAGAGTTCGCGCAACCGATGCAATTGCTAATGGCTCGTTATCAACTAGGTCATCGACGTTAAAACTAAGAACCAGAAAATAGATTATTAATCCATATCACTTGTTTTAACATACCGATATTTGTGGGAGCATCTAATTAGAAGAAAGGCACTGAAAACAGGAAGAAATTAAATATTCATATTTTTCTCTGATTTTCACTTTTCAAGGAAGCGAATGGAGGCAGAGAAAAGTCAGTCCTATGAGACGTGGCTTGCACAGCGAGAAAAAGAGAAAACTACTTCAGATAACCTACCACCTCGAACAACCAAAGAGCCTGCCCCTCCGGTACATGTAGACAAAGGCCCCGGCTACCTTCGGTCCTATCTAAGGTCTCTTGGAAAGACAAAAACGGGTGACACTTACGAGGACTGGCTTAATCACAAAGAGAAACAATTAGGTTTAGCTAAAAGTCCCGGTAGACCAAACTCAAAAATGCCTGTCTCGACGTACTAGACAAACCAACAGTAGGAATATTCAAATGCTATCAAAAGTCGTATAGATGTACAGTGTGTTAGAGGAGTGTGACAACCACCTCGGTCCAAACAGGTTTGAAAAAAATGTGACCCCCCTTCGGTCCAAACAGGTTTGAAAAATGATGTGATGTCCACTTTTGTCCAGACAGGTTTGCTAAAGGAGGTGACGCCATTTCGGTCCAGAAAGGTTTGATGAAGGATTTGGACAAAAATGTTCAAATAAATTATTTCTAGTCATCAAACAAAACGTTTGCAACATTTATGTTTTTGTTCGGTTAATATTTACTATTTTGGAACTTGCAAATATACCCCTCTGAGGTTTAAATTACATTCAAATCTTGTTTTTATCTAGTGTATCGGATGCTTAGAATATTTAACAAGACAGCTAGATCAAGCATGCAACTGAAAAAGTGAGTCAAAATCTAGATGCTTATTGCTTGCAGAAGTTTTTTACAGGTTCTAAAAATGACCAATTCGGAAGCCATTTGAATATTACACAATATGTGTACTTTTTACACTCTATATTCAATGCTAAAGTTTGCTCCCCGATATGTATCACTGAAAGTGTCATTTAATCATCATAGCAAGTTAGTCTTGCTATGCAACTTTGAAATGTTCTGTTTTTTGAAATTTTTCAAAAATGCACATAAAACAAACAGTTGAATAGAGGAATGTTTTTATTTCTCAGAGGAGGACATCCTTTAACAAATGATGTCGGCAATTTTGATAAGGAAGATTGTTAGAAAGCAGATTCGTTGTTGAAAATATGACATAAAGCAAAAATGAATATCATAATTATACTAGTTAGTTCTGGCTTCCTGAAACTCCTTGTAAAATACGTATCCTTTTAGTAGGTCAGCCTGAAACTCCTTGTAAAATAGTATCCTTTGGAAGGTCAGGGTTCCTGAAACTCCCTGTAAGATACGTATCCTTTGGTAGGCCAGGGTTCCTAAAACTCACTGTAAGAAACGTATTCTTTGGTAGGCCAGCGTTCCTGAAACTCACTGTAAGATACGTATCCTTTGGTAGGCCAGGGTTCCTGAAACTCACTGTAAGATACGTATCCTTTGGTAGGCCATGAAATTATCAGGATATCTCACTGAGATTCGCAACAAAACTTTGAAATGATTGAAAAAAGGGCAAACATGATGGAAATAGTGAAAACATTTGAAGCTTGCGATCATTTCATGCGTGTTCATTTATCTGATTTATGTATTGGAACAATGATTCTTCTATGATATCCTTATACAATAGAGACATTCAAATTGAATGGAATAGCTGATAATAAATATATTTGAATGGATTCTATTGATTTTTGTCCTACTAGTTGTATAGTTTCTGCTGTATCATATCGATGAACTAGTCATTTTTCTAATTTCTATCTTTCATATATATTCAACGTTACATGTTGTTGATTGCGTGTTATTTTTGCGTAAACTCCTGTTTTCTCAGATTTTATTTTTTATAAGAACTGCCAGTGTATGACGTGGTCAGTGTTAGACAAGTCTGATAAGCTTTCTCATGATGTTTATCTTGATCTGTGAATTCAGTAGAAACAGATATTTGCGATTGTGATAGCACAAGGTATTGCTGTATAACGTAAAGGTCTTGAACATGTTCGTATGAAAAGGCGAACTTTCGGCAGTTACGCCATTTACGATCTGGTATTGGAAACGATATAATAGGTTCCTGTATAGTCTATGTTATGTTATTACATTAGAATCTCCATGTGTGCCTTTATATTTATATGGTTCCTGTGAAAATGGTTTGTTGTATAAAGTCTTACACGATTTAAACTCTGTACATTGTTGTATTCTGTACAAGATGTTAACTCTACATTGTATGTACGGTATGCTATTAACGTTGTTTCTCCAGGTACTACAGACCACCTAGGGCTAATGTCGTCTTTGTTAGCTAATGCGTATCTCGGTAGTGTCAAAGACTGACATTCTGGCGGATATTCATCCTCATTTCACTTGTCTTGCTTCAGCTTAGTACCGAGTTGGCCAGTTATTCCTTAAAGTCTTTAACGAATATATGATATTCTTTCTTTCTGTTAACATCCGATACAACCCCGTATAAACGTCAAATTGTATGTTAGACCGTGGCAGATGTACGTTTAATTTAACGCCGTACGGATAATTTTACTAGTTGGTCGCAAATCCATATGAAAGTGGGTTTTTTTTCAAATGAATTTATATATATATATTTTTTCCCCTTTGAATTCAGCGAGAAATAATGAAAATGCAGTACGACTTTCTGTTGAAGGTTAATAAAATTCTCGCCAGATCATTAGCCAATAAGACGATTGATTCTCATTGCTATCTGAACTGGTAAATGAACATGTTTCACTGCTTCAGGCTCACGGGTTATTTATATAAATAATTTCATAGTGTATAAATACATCATTTGGCACGACATCGCATCGCGTTTTACATCAAATCTTTTCTCGAGATGTCAAATCATGCGTTTTATAGAAGGAAAAGGCTGTTTTATATCCAGATTCAGTCATCACTCTCGTTGAATTTCTCTTATACAGTATGTTCTTAATGTTATATTATTTTCTAGAAAAAATATCTTTCTTATCTTTGGCTTAACAAAAGGGATACTAAACAGTAGTTTCAATTAACCGTTTTATTTAAATGATAACAGTTAAGCTGGTGAAATGTTTGCTTAAATGTATCGTTAAGATTATAGTAATCCCAATTCATCTGCTTATGTTGCCCCGTCCACACATTTCTTACAAGAAATGATAAATACATATAAAGCTATTAGAGTATGAAAAACTGGCCTCAGTATATGTTAGCCCATCTGATTACGTAAAGGTGAAAACTGTACCTAAGCCCGTAGGTACCGATTACGTGATATATATCTCTGCTTTATATCAGTTCCTTTAACGCTGATATTTTTCTATATTACAAGATTAATAACGTAAAGCTGATATCGCTATATAACTGTATTAATAACGTAAAGCTGATATATCAATATAACTGTATTAATTACGTAAGCTGATATCTGTATACATCTAGATTAATAACGTAAAACTGATATCGCTATATAACAGTATTAATAACATAAAGCTGATATCTGTATACAACTAGATTAATAACGTAAAGCTGATATATCTATATAACTGTATTAATAACGTAAAGCTGATATCTCTATATAACTGTATTAATAACGTAAAGCTGATATCGCTGTATAACTGTATTAATTACGTAAGCTGATATCTGTATACAACTAGATTAATAACGTAAAGCTGATATCTCTATATAACTATATCAATAACGTAAAGCTGATATCGCTATATAACTGTATTAATAACGTAAAGCTGATATCTCTATACAACTAGATTAATAACGTAAAGCTGATATCTGTATATAACTGTATTAATAACGTAAAGCTGATATCTGTATACAACTAGATTAATAACGTAAAGCTGATATCTCTATACTATCTGATCGGCCCGACTGATTAGGTATAGATGTTCTCTGTAATATATGTATTTAGCAACTCGTCTCGATGGGGTGATCAGATCTAGATGGGTTACTATTTATACAGAAATAAGCTTTAGTAATCACACGGGCTAATTATGTACATGTAAACATATAAATCAGGCCCCGAGATCACGAAACGATTTTAAGTCTAAAAACTGTCTTAAGTTTTGACTTAACGAATCATAAATAACGTCATTAAAAGTAACGTCATTCGTGATTGGCTGAGTAAAACCTTAAGTCTATGATCGTTTCATGACCCCGGGGACTGTACATGTTTGTATGTCTAATAACGTGAAGATGGCCACTTTATATTAAATTATTGTTATCTAAAGCTAGATTGTTAAATTATCTCAATTTTTAGTACTATATACTTTTTTTACTAAAAAACATCATAAATCCTTTTTGTCTTTGTTATATTTGTGTTCATTCTAGCTTAACCAAGATTTAAAGTGTCTTTCATTTTTAGCTCACCTGGCCCGAAGGGCCATGTGAGCTTATGCCGTACTGCGGCGTCCGTCGTCCGTCCGTCAACTTTTTCTTTTGAACGACTTCTTCTGAAGAACTGTAGGACCTAGGGTCATGATATTTGGTCAGTAGGTACCTGGGATGGAGTGCTATAAAGTTTTCTCATTAAAATGACCTTGACCTACTTTCAAGGTCACAGCGGTCAAATATGTTAAAAATTTCAAACAACAATATCCTAAGAACCATTTGAAATAAAGTCATGATACTTGGATATGTTATGTAGACCAGCAGTGCGAATTTTTTTCTCCTTTACAATAATGAGGTCAAAGGTCAACTTTAAATGTTAGTCGGGGGTCAAATGTCAACTTTGGTTAAAAGCTTGAACAATCTTCTTCTCAAGTTCCATAAGGCCCAGGGTCATGATGTTTGGCCAGTAGGTACCTGGGTTGTAGTGCTAAAATTTTTCTCATTAAAATGACCTTGACCTACTTTCAAGGTCACAGAGTTTAAATATGTTAAATATTTCAAACAACAATATCCTAAGAACCATTTGAAATAGAGTCATGATGCCTGAGTATGTTATGTAGACCAGCAGTGCGAATATTTTTTTCAATTACAGTTATGAGGTCAAAGGTCTACTTTAAATGCTAGTCAGGGGTCAAATGTCAACTTTGGTTAAAAGCTTGAACAATCTTCTTCTCAAGTTCCATAAGGCCCAGGGTCATGATATTTTGCCAGTAGGTACCTGGGATGGAGTGCTATAAAGTTTCCTCAAAATGACATTGACCTACTTTCAAGGTCACAGAGGTTAAATATGTTAAAAATTTCAAACAACAATATCCTAAGAACCATTTGGACTAGTCATGATACTTGGGTATTTTATGTAAACCAGCGGTGCAAATATTTTTTTCGGTTACAGTTATGAGGTCAAAGGTCTACTTTAAATGCTAGTCAGGGGTCAAATGTCAACTTTGGTTAAAAGCTTTAACAGTCTTCTTCTCAAGTTCCATAAGGCCCAGGTTCATGATATTTTGTCAGTAAGTACATGGGATGTGGTGCTATAAAGTTTCCTCATTAAAAAGACCTAGACCTGCTTTGAAGGTCACAGCGGTTAAATATGTTAAAAATTTCAAACAACAATATCCTAAGAACCATTTGAACTAGAGTCATTATACTTGGGTATGTTATGTTGACCAGATGTGTGAATTGTTTTCTTCATTACAGTAATGAGGTCAAAGGTCAACTTTAAGTGCAAATCGGGATTCAAATGTCAACTTTGGTTAAAAGCTTTAAAATTAAAATTTTAAGTTTCAAACATTAATATCTTCAGAACCGTTTAAGAGATGTTAAAATGTCTTGTGTTCTAGTTACCAAATGGTCTTAAGTTACCTATATGTCAGTTGCATGTAACAAAAGAAACAGGTGAGCGATACAGGCCCTCTGGGCCTCTTGTTTTATACACATCTGATGTTGATGAGCTGAGAATGTCAACATCGAGCTCCTACATGACTACCAACACAAACTATTACACTGATGTTTCGTTAAAGGTAGCACATTTGTGTTTTCACATAATACATCTTACATTCACTTACTGATAGTTACTTTTTTTTTTATTCTGTATCTGATTAATTTTATTGCCTTGCTAAGTAGGTGAGAATACATCAACAGAAAATGATACCCTGAAATGAATTATTTAAAAATAACGCACAACGTAATATCTGGTGACGTCACTTGTTGACACAAACGTCGGTCGCCTTTTTTGTTAATCATGACAAAATAATTCACTCGTTTACGGTTTGTGCTGGAGAGTCTTCTCCAGAAAACTTGAGTGGATTGATAAATCGTGCAGTGTGATGCAAGTACTCGAATGTTTTCTCCCGCTTCAATCGAATCGCTACTGCCTGTGTGGGATAGATGTGATCGATATAGAAAAAAGCCTACCACTGGGTGTTGCGTGAGGTTTCTGTGTCCCTTGGAACGAGAAATAGTGGATTCGATACGTGTGCTGTTGAATTTTCCAAGTAAGCGAGAGCAGTTCTCATCACATGCAGTCGAACGATACAACATCACTGGGACATCGAGTACTCCATAGATCTTCAGAGATATTGTAAAAAGTGGGATGTTTAGCCTGTCCGCACTGGTAACCTCTCACCTAGTCTGTAGTTACACAATTCATCCAACACAGTTTTACTAATAAGGGATTAGACGCAACCAATATCGGTAACATGTTGATCTGAAACTAGACTACCCCATAACAATGCGAAATGAGAATTCAACTATCATTTCAGACATTTGAGATTTTAACCATAAAGGCACGTTGTATCATTTCGTGTTAAATTATATTCCACCTCATTCGTTGTTCATGTTATTTTTACCTATGTCGTGCTTCACTGAACAGAGTGGTTAAAACATCCTTCAATGTTTACATACCGAACACTCAAACTGTTGAGAACCATCATCTGAAAGCTTAAACTCTTATGGGTGCTGTCGAAGATGATTGGTGAAAACGATAGCCAAAATTAGGAGAAATTCAATCGGATAACCTTTCTGAATAGGATAATAGTAGTCATATTAGCAGGCAATATTTCTTTAATACTGTTATGTGAACTGCCCACGCGAAGAATTAGTTGGATATTGTTGGTAATGCCACTAACACGTCCCTGGTGACCTTTAGAAACAAGCTTAGAGACTTCAGAAAGTTATTGATGATGTGGCTTATATTCTGTCTTCTTTCGCTGTATGGACGGTATATATTGACGGTCTGGTCATTTGACGTTTGATGAAAGAAGTCGAATTTGGCAACAAGGGTTATAGATGCCATTAACGTTTGTAATATCCTATACAAAAGTCCGTCGAAAGCTATTTACCACCGTATTACTGATACAAAAATAATATTATCACATCTTACGATAATTATAATCTTATGGCTGCCAAAGCTTTCTATCTACAGACGTCTCAACAGCTGAATGTAGATTATATTAGAATAACGTCTCCTTCAGCATATTCCAGCTGGACGCGTAGTAACTGGTGATCTAAATATTTCCCATAATGTGAATCCACAAGAGCGTTTTATGATTGGTCTGAGGAATCGAGTCTCCTATTGTCATCTGGAATTTAAATTTCAAGACACTGATGGATTCTGTGAAAGACTGTGCCAGACAATGGATAAATGAAATCATGCTGAATATTATGTACCTTCAGGGAGACTTAGATATATCAGTTCCTTTATTTAGACGGAATAAGCAGTTTAAAATGAAAACCAAACAAGTCCGTAATTATTGACGCCAACGTCCAGACCACACTCAACGATTAGCATATGTATATAGTTGTCTACTGAAAAATCAACCTAACGTAATCCTTGTCCGAAACTACTATTACACTGGTTACTTGCAAAATAATGTAAGCTTGCTTAATAATAAGGAAAACACAATTGACACATTTGTGAATTTTCGAAAGACGAAATACTATCCTAACATCCTTCTGTATAACAACTTCCCTTATGGCGGGTAGTAGTAAGGGTGGATAACTATTTGGTCTGACGTGAAGCTTGGACGGCATCACGCTTTTCATATACAATTTGACTTCATTATTGCTAATTGTTGTTTGCTTCGTAATTTGTAAAGCGGTGTGACGAGGTGATATTTACAGTGATCTAGACCTACCTAAAGCCTACCATCAATGGTATGCCTCTCAATACGGACAGTGCCATTTAGTAACATGTTGTGATGTACACACGCAGTGTATAAATCGAGGTTGATTAAACCAGGGACAGTATATATAC